GAAACACTGGAGCACTGCAGATATTGTGCTGGAAACTAAGACCCTTACAGACAGGAGAACGTTGTCAGATATGTTGTTGGAAGATGAGCCCTTCAGGTTGGACGGCACTCGAAATATGTCTGAGAAAGAGCTGCCTCCTCCAAGTCAAGCTGACCATAATGATGTGGAGGGAGCAAAGCTTTCCAGACCTTCGTTTGCTGATGGGGCACAACTCAAAGTGAGAAGAAACAGCTGCAAACATCCCCTAATTTTCAGAACATGGAATGTAAAAAGTAGGAATCTAGGAAAATTGGAAGTTGTCCAAAATGAAATAGGATGCTTAAAGATCAAGCTCCTAGGTGGTGGTGGTTGTGGTAGGTGAGTCAGGTATGACCTGTCTATAGCGACCCTGTGCACAATAGAACAAAACTCTGCCCAGTCCTGCAGTGTCCTCACAATTGTCTTTACGTCTGAGTCTAGTGCTGCTGCCATGGTGTCAATCCATCTCATGGGGGCAGGAAGCGGGGGTCCTCCTGTTTTTCTCTGACCCTCGACTTTACCAACCATTGTGTCCTTCTCCAGGGACTGGTCCCTTCTGATAATTATGTCCGAACTATGAGAGATGAAATCTCGCCATCCTGGCTTTGAAGGAACATTCTGGCTGTACTTCTTCCTAGGCATCAGTTAGTCAAATTGGACTGGTATTGACCATTTTGAATCAGACAATCGTATGGCTTATTATGCCAGGAATGACAAATTGAAGAGGAATGGTGCCACATTCATTGTCAAAAAGAACATTTCAAGATCTATCTTGAACTACAATGCTGTCTGTGAAAGGATAATATCCATATGCCTACAAGGATTCCTGGTGTGGCACTGTTGGATCAGCACTGAATTTCGAACCACAAGGTTGGAAGTTCAAAACCACCTGCTGCTCCTCAGAAACCTGATACAGGGTCACTATGAGTCAGAACCAATTCAGCAACACTTTATAACAGCAACAAGGAAGCCCAGTTAATACCACTATTTTCCAAATTTACACACCAACCACTAAAGTCAGTGATGATGGAATTCAAGATTCTACCAACTTCTTTAGTCTGAAACTGATCAAACATGCAATCAAGATACATTGATAATTACTGGTGACTGGGATGTGAAAGTTGGAAACAAAAAGGAAGTAGTTGGGAAATATGGCATTGATAACAGAAATGATGCTGGAGAGTACATGATAGAATTTCGCAAGACAAATGACTTCATCATTGCAAATTACCTTTTTAAAACAACACAAAAGTCAACTCTACACCTAGACCTCACCAGATGTAATAAACATGAATCAAATGGACTACACCGGTGGGAAGAGACGGTGGAGAAACACCATTATCATCAACCCAAACAAGACCAGGGGCAAACTGTAGACCATAGAACTTGCTCATATGCAAGTTCAGGCTGAAGCAGAAGAAAAACATTCAAGTCCATGAAAGCTAAAATACGACATTGACTATATTCCTCCTAATTTATTTAGAAACTATCTCAAGTAAGACAAGGTCATGGTCAGTGGAGTCCACATTAGAGGTGAGGGGTGGTGTGTGAGACGGCCTTGAGTGGAAGTGTGTGAGAACATTCATGTCCTGCTGGGAGAGTTAACGTAACCAGGAGTGATTGTGGCTAGAGCTGGTGGGCAGACCCCTGAGCCCCGCAGCAATCTGTCTTTGTTTATCTGCTGCCTTCTACTACCCAGGACAGTTCTGTGTGGAAGGAAGTGTTGTTTTCATAGACATGAATTAGTTTTCACCTGGAGATTAAGATCCCTGAAGGCGAGGACCATTACCTGCTCTCTGAGGGCCTTGCCCCTTCCACTCTCTGGCACTCAGTGGGTGCCTACTAAAGTTCTTGGTCTGATCTGCTTTGGGTTTATGTGAGACCAGTAGTCTGAACATCCCTCTGCTGCCTTTCCATGGCTTGGGTTATGCACATCTGAGACCACAAAGCGACATCATTGTTTTCTAATACTTTAAAAATGCACTATGCTATTTAATTTCTTGACTGCTGCTTCCATGAGCCTTGATGGTGGATTCAAGTAAAATGAAATCCTTGGTGGTGGTGGTGGTGGTGGTGGTGGTTTGTGCTGTGGAGTCGGAACTGACTCATAGTGACCCTGTACAGGGTTTCCGAGGCTGTAAATCATTATGGGAGCAGAAAGCTTCATCTTTCTCCCACGGAACAGCTGACCTTAAGGTTCACAGCCCAATTCGTAACCATGAAATCCTTGGCAAATTAAAAATTTTTTTCTGTTGGTTCCGATGTTTCTTATTGGTCCAGGTGTGGAGAATTTTGTGTTCTTTATGTTGAGGTGCAATCCATAATGAAGACTATAGCGTTTACTCTTCATCAAGAGCTCTTTACTTTCAGCAAACAATGTGTGTCATCTGTATATTGCAGGTTGTTAAGGAGTCTTCCTCCAGGGCTCCTTATGCAGGCTTCCTGCATTCTTCTTCATATAGTTAACTTCTCCAATGATTTGCTCAGCATACAGATTGAATATATATGATGAAAGGATCCAACCTTGACACACACCTTTCCTGATAGTGAACCATGTTGCATCTCCATGTTCTGGAGACACATTCAGCTTGTTGGAATGACACATGTTGGAGGAATTGCCAGGATGATGATGGCAGAATGGGCGACCAGGCTTGGCAATCATAGTAATGGCTGGGAACTGAGGCAACGTATAACATGTTTGTTGTTGTTGTGAAGTGCTGTTGAGTCGGTTCCGACCCATAGAGACCCTGTATAGGGTTTCCGAGGAGCAGCTGGTGAGCTTGAACTGCTGACCTTGCAGTTCTAACAGCTTTGCAGTCTGGCGCGTTAACCTCCAGCGCCACCCCAGGACTCCATAGAACATGTTTGGTAGTCTTCAAATATTTAAAAACTGCCCTAGAGAAGAAAGACCAAGCATGCATCTACATGCCATATGTAGGATAAAAATGAGACCCTAGATGGTTCAAATGGTTAATGTGCTCAACAATGAACCAAAAGGTTGGAGGTTCAAGTACACCCAGAGGTGCCATGAAAGAAAG